TAGAGGCAGGGGTACCTAGAGAGAAGAAGACTGTGTGTTTGCTTTATTTAAGATAGGGACAGTTGTAGCAGAATATGGAGACTAAGGAGTTACGCTAAAGCTTGATAGAAACAGTGGATTTTGATGAGGGATTTGAAGGAAATGAACAGGTGTGGAATATTCAGCTGCTAAACTGTCAGAATATTCACATGGCTGCATCAGACTTGAAAGAAGAAAAATCTATTAGAGTACCTACTCTGGTAATTTGCAGTTCCTTTCATGGGATCAAAAAATTCTCACTTGCAGCGTTTATGAGTTCTTTTCTCTCCAAAAGGGAACACTTCATCCTTTGCTGAGAAGCTTCTTGTCCTTATAGCATACCTCATGTGCTGTGTGAAGCTGTAATACATATTATGCAACTAACGGGGGGGGGGAATTGTGGGACAGATAAGCAAAGCTTGACAAACCCGTTATTCAAAGCGGCATCAGTTTTGTGGGTTTGCTTTATAAAAGAGGAAGGGCTCATCTCTAATCTGGCAAGACGTCCATCATTTCTAAGGCAGCACTTAAACAAGGACTGATCTGAGAGGCATGTCAGGGACTCGTGCAGTTTTGCAGTGACTGCTAAAATACAGCTACTGTTTCACATAGAAGCATGATTTGAAATCTATGGCGTCGCTTTCTCTGTAACAGCACAAAAGATTCTAGGGTGCCAGATTCATGCACTGCAGCTTCCTGATGTGGCAAAACATCCTGTACTTGTTTTCAGTACTGTATAATTTCATATGAAGTTAAAGTTCATTTGTCTGTCTAACGTAGAGTACACATTGACTTGCAGTAGGCTCTGTTCTGGTTTCTGACTTTTTTGAGCAGTGTCCCCAAGTTGTTCATGTCAGATTAAATTGTTTAATTATTTCCCTTTTCCCTACACATCCTTTTCCTTCTTGCGTTATGCCTTTTAAGTGATGTTCCCCCCCCACTTCCAATATGGGTATGCTGCTCTGGGAGCCCTTTGGGGTGAAGAGCAGGATAAAAATGAATTACATGATTGTCAGGCATTCCTTTATATTCAGGCATTTCTGTTGAATGAAAGAAAAAGATTTTAAGAATTTGTTTCATATATTTCTGTCTTTTAATGAGCTCAAGGTGGAATATACTAGCTTCCTCTTTTCCTTTTGTCCTCACAACGACACAGAGAGGTAGGTCAAAGCTGAGAGAGTGTGGCTGGCCATCATCAATCAGTAAGTTTTATGGAGCTCTGAACCCAGTTGTCTCAACCTGACATTCTAACCATTGCACCATAGTGGTTCTTCAGAGGCATCTGGAATCCACACAAACCATGGTTTCTTTTCAAGATGCTCCATTTCATCCCTTCAGCCCATAAGACAATGTCAGCATTCTTTTCACCACTGTGTAAGCACACTCCTTACTGGACTTTGGTCCTTCCAGGACATTGGTGGTGTCCCCACATCTGCCTGTTGATGTCTTCCTTCTGGTGTGTGGATGACACCCTCAGACAATGAGTCTGCTGGTCATATATGAAAATGTTGTACATCTCTTAAATAGCTGCAGAACCACCAGAGTCTCTGGCTTGTGTGTGCCTAATAATTCCTTCAGTCAACATAATTCTGTGGTGTTTCTCTAGAAGTTGGTAGCCTTTGCTGTAAATTGCATTCAAAGTGCAAGTCAGCTATTGTTTTGGTATTCTTGAAAAGTAATTAGGGTCATAAGTTGGAAATTCGTATTTGTATAGAACTATGAATATCGCTGACGCAGCTGAATCTAAGAAGAGACCGGCCCCCGGGACTGGACTGTCTTGCGCTGGTTTTGCTCATCCTGCCAATGGTGCCTGGACCATTGATCTTTTCCTGCTCGGCTGGCCACTCCAGACAGGGGCTGGGAGGATGAGTCTCCCTGCACGGTTGCTGAGTGGCCAACCTAGCGGGAAGAGAGCAGAGCTCCAGGTGCCATTGGAAGGACAAGCAGGACTGGCACTGCAGCAAGACACATGAGTGGACGGTCTGGTCTTGGGGGCAGACTCTCATTAGGTCCAGCTGCATTGGGGATATTCATATACGAATATGAATATACTTATCTCCATAACTTTCACAAGCAGATGCATCAGCTGAAATGGAAATGGCAAAGGGGCTAGTGGGGATAGTTTTGACACAATATTTTGGTTTTCCATCTCTCTTTCTTCCTCCCAGTTTTTATTCATTTGGACAACCTTCGAGAACCTATTACAATCCAGACGTAAAGCAGAGCATTGAAATTTTGCACTATCCTAGAGTTTTGTTAATTTCAGATTACTTTATTTTTTCTGTGTATAAGATGCCCCCATGTATAAGACGCCCCCCAATTTTTAACCCAAAATTAAGAAATCTAAGTGGGGCTTAGCAAGTGGAGGGTAAAACAGGAATCAAAGCCCTGCAGGATCACTTTGATCCCTGCTTTCCCCTCCACTTGTTTTTTTCTTTCTCCTCAGCTTACTTCTGTGTATAAGACGACCATCAATTTTTAGTCTAAAGATTTTAGACAAATTATAGTCTTATACATGGAAAAATATGGTAACTGAAACAATGTTGAACTGTGGATAGTGGAACTAGGTTAGATTTTATAAAATTGCTGTTTCCAAATTTTCTTTAGGATTCTTTCCCCTCCACTTGTTTTTTTCTTTCTCCTCAGCTTACTTCTGTGTATAAGACGACCATCAATTTTTAGTCTAAAGATTTTAGACAAATTATAGTCTTATACATGGAAAAATATGGTAACTGAAACAATGTTGAACTGTGGATAGTGGAACTAGGTTAGATTTTATAAAATTGCTGTTTCCAAATTTTCTTTAGGATTCGTTTGTCTCAGTCTTATACATGGAAAAATATGGTAACTGGAACAATGTTGAACTGTGGACAGTGGAACTAGGTTAGATTTTCTCAAACTGCTGTTTGCAAATTTTCTTTAGGATTTGTTTGTCTCAATTTTGAAATCCAGTGTTTGTGTGTGTTTTGTTTTGTTTTACTAATTATCCGTATAAACAGATAGAAGAGGATGTTTTCTCCATTTGGGACAATTGTGGACTGCAGTTTTAAGTGTCACTGAAATCTGGGCAAACCCAGCAACTTGGAATAGTATTGAGTGTGAATATGCAGTGAGTATAGGAAGATGCTGTATTAATATCACATACTGGGGGGAAAGTATGCATTACTGGATCAGCATGCCTTGATTAGCTTTCCAGTGCAAAGAATAGTCCAGTGTATTTCCAATATCATACTATAAATTGAACCAAGATCACCAAAGTCTTTTATTTAAGTCATTTAACGACATTAGGATCTGACTGGAATCACAGTAACTTTTAATTAACCGCCTTTTATATTTCTGGCAATTATTAAATAACTATTAAAAGTGTTGGAGCTAGTAGACCAAGGCGTTGAAATGGATTGGTGGGCGTAATCACAACTAATATCAAGGTACTGTATACTAAAAATAAGCAACAGGGATTTTCTCAAGAAAATCTCAATTTTGAAATCCAGTGTTTGTGTGTGTTTTGTTTTGTTTTACTAATTATCCATATAAACAGATAGAAGAGGATGTTTTCCCCATTTGGGACAATTGTGGACTGCAGTTTTAAGTGTCACTGAAATCTGGGCAAACCCAGCAACTTGGAATAGTATTGAGTGTGAATATGCAGTGAGTATAGGAAGATGCTGTATTAATATCACATACTGGGGGGAAAGTATGCATTACTGGATCAGCATGCCTTGATTAGCTTTCCAGTGCAAAGAATAGTCCAGTGTATTTCCAATATCATACTATAAATTGAACCAAGATCACCAAAGTCTTTTATTTAAGTCATTTAACGACATTAGGATCTGACTGGAATCACAGTAACTTTTAATTAACTGCCTTTTATCTTTCTGGCAATTATTAAATAACTATTAAAAGTGTTGGAGCTAGTAGACCAAGGCATTGAAATGGATTGGTAGGCGCAATCACAACTAATATCAAGGTATACTAAAAATAAGCAACAGGGATTTTATCAAGAAAACACTCCTTTCGACAGAACTCTTTTAGAATCAGAAAGAAAATGCATTAAGTTACTATGTAATTTCTTGCTAGATTTCGAAACACAAGATGAAGTAGTAAAAGCATGCATGATCAAATGGGCATTGGATGTAGGACACAATATTGAATTAAACCAATGGGAGCAAATCTGGAAAATAAATATAAATATAACTAAATCTTCAATATTCAATACAATGTTCTACAGATGGTACATAACTCCCCATAACTCTGGCTAAAATAAGCAATCAGTTTTCAAATGTATGTTGGAAATGTAAACAGAAAGAAGGGACATTTTACCACATGTGGTGGGTGTGTAAAGAAGACCAAAAATACTGGACCAAAGTCAACCAGATACTGCAAGAGATATTAGAAACTCCAATATTGATGATACCAGATTTTTTCTACTAAATATTTTGCCTAATACATTAGATTCTGAAAAAGCATTCTTAGCCAACCATGTGATAACAGCGGTAAGAATAGTATTTGCGAAACAGTGAAAGGAGTCTGGAATACCACAAATAGACAAATTGATAGGGAAAATACTGGTAAATGCAGAAATGGATATGCTAACAGAATGGTTGAGTCAAAAAAAGAAAAAGGATCATTGGGAAACATGGCTGCCACTATAAACATGGTTGCAAAAAAGACCAGCTACATGATTAATAATGGGAATTACAAAATACCTGCCTGAATTTAGATTTTTCTATATAATGTATATATTTTTGTATGATAACTGGAATTATTCTTAGAAGGGATTAATTAGAATTATTATGGGGAAAAAATACCGATTTGTAATGTGACCGTTCAAATCCACCCCCTCTAAATGTATCTTTATCCCAGTTATCCCTTACCCCACCCTACCTCTATAAAAAGAAAAATAAATAAATATTTTTTTTAAAAAAAGTGTTGGATTAGTTTAGTTTTGATTTTGATGCCTTTCTGACATTGCCTTCCTCTAGCCTGTGGACCTGGCTTCCAAACCATTAGCTGACAGTATTCTTATGCTGCGTGATGAGAGATGGAAAGATGTCCGAAGTCTGTTGACCCAAGTCTTCAGAGCCGCAAAGATTAAAGAGGTAAGGTGTAGGCAGCAGTGCCACCATTCCAGGCACAAGAAGAGTTTCTTTCTTTCCCAGTGCTGAATATTTCTCAAATGTGTGATGTTTAATGGCTCTGTAATGAATGACTGCCAGTCATCTACTGCCAGCGTGTCAATGCCTCACTGGTTTGCTTATGTAAAGTCTTGCTCCTTTGGGGAAAATAATTTTCATTCTATCGTGCTGTTTATCAGAGAACCGAGTGTGAGATTTCACTTATCAATGGAATAGCTATGAGTTATTTGTGTTCTCTCAGAACCCAGCAGCCTCTGGATCTCTACAGAATGTCTCTTGCAAAAAATAAATGTGTGTTATGTCAATGTAAACCTGGGGGGGACCCCAAAGTACCACAAAAGGGAGATTTGCCCCGAGAGAACAATTTCTATATACTGTATATATAAAAAAATCAGCACACTTAAGGCAGCATTTCGTCAGCCCTACTGGATTACTTTGTTTGGTTTGTCCCACCTTTGGTTTCAGGGGATGAGGGCAACATTTGGAAACTTACCTTTAAGAATAAATATAGTGATGTGTTGAAGTATCCAAAACTGGTAAGTGGCAGGATGAGGTTTTGGGACCAGTGGCCTCCTCCAAAATACCACAGGTTAGTTACAGATGGTTTCAGTGGGTCACAATTCATATTTGTTTTAAGCTCGACTATTGACATAACTATGTTTAATGCAGTGTGCCCTACCATGTCTATAGGGTGTTCAGGGTGAATAGACATTATTTGACATGACAAATTTAAACATAGGAATCTGCCTTATTTAGAGTTGCCTTTTTTTGGATTATAAATTTAAGACTATCACAGATTTCCCCCTTGTATTATTTTTTAAAAGTTACTGTATTTTTCCAAGCTCTACTGGACTGTTCATCTTCCTTAGTCTACTCAGGCTGAGGTTGAGTCTCTTGGAACTCAGGCAGAGAAAAGCCTTTGCCATCACCTCTTATGTGATGATTTTAACTCAGAATGCCTGCTCAAGAACAGAATGACAGATCTACTGTCATTCTGCTGCTGACGTAACTTTTACAGATTTTGTGCAAAAAAGGTGTCTTGGGGTGGTTTTTTTTTCTGCGAAAAGTACTGAAATGTGAAAAATGCACAAAACCTCATGTAATCTTGCCCAGTGGAAAGAAGACCTTTGAAATATTTCATTCTTATCTGCAGAAACAAAATGTGTGCAAAGAGAAATAAATCCTTGCTCTTGTAGGTTTAACACATATTTTACTTACACCAGGGGAAGATTTTGTCCTGCTCCTCGGCTTCTCCTAATAAGGATTATTCCCTTTCTTGCAAGAGTGGAATTGGTGGAATGTTGTTGATAATTAATCCTTGTTTCCTGTGTCGATAACTAATCTGTGTTCTAGAATAACCTGACCTTAACCATTGACTGCCACCATGGAAGAACTTGGTCCTCTCCCAAATGGATCACTGCAGAATGAATCTTTCTCAGAGAAATATTATGGTGCACATACCTTTGAGGGAGAAAGGGAAAGAGGGTGTGTGTGTGCACAGCCCACACATTGATTTACCTTTCCTTTTTCTTTTTAAATAGCAGTCAATTGCTAGACTATAGTAGAATTGCAAGACAGGTTCTTTAAGCGGGATGAGCATTGGGTGCCTCAGCATTTCTTTAACACTGATTTCTCTATGCATTTTTCAAGCTGTTGGAGATCCATTTTATGCTGCGACAAACTTCAAGTCCATTAATATTCTGTCTCTTAATTTAAAAATAGGGTGATGTCTCAGTTGGTTAAAAGTCATCCCTGAAGAGAAATAAACAGTAATTCTTTCCCTTTGTAATCTTATGGTGGAAAAAAAAACCACACCCCAAACATGACACATTCCTCACTTCAGTGCCTGTTGTTTGGTTATCAAAATTTTCCACTGGACAGAAGCCTACATTGTTTTGACATGCTGCTGTCGAAACCCACAGTAGCATCTAAATGTGTCTGGCTCTTTTAGTCTATAGACAGCTGTTGCTTAGCAACACCAGCTGTCACCCCCTTATTATGGTAAATTCTAATTGGCCATAAGCCCAGCAAGGACTGCTGATTAATCAGAACCGACAATGCCATTGGTTATGCACCTAGACAACTGGTTTAGTCCGAGGTTTGGTAGCAAATTGTATAAATCCTTAGGATTTTAAGAGAGAAAAAAGCAATAAATTCAGATGCCTGATCAGTAATTGGGATGGTGGGGGGGAAGGAATTTGTATTGCCTTGGCGGAAATTAATCTCCCTTACGTGGGTCATCAACACAGGGCAAAACCCTCACAGTCAGTTTTTCTCCAGTAAAACATAACAAAAGATAAAACCCCTGGTATGTATAGAGCAGCCCCTGCTGGCATGAGCCAGATGTAGTTGGAGATACAAATGGTTCTCGGACATTGTGCCTTGCAGAGATGAACGTCTGTGTTGACTGTGTTAATTATTTAAAGGGAGAAGGGAATACACCCTGTTGCTTCTTGTGCTCTATGGCTGTGAAGGAGGAGCACCAACTGCCAGGGAGGCAAAAGAGCAGAGGCTCATCTGTGAATTGCAAACTCTTTCTTTCTTTCTTTTCTCTTTTTTTAAACAATGACAGCCGGTTCTGTGGCACTCGAAGCACTAACATATTTATGACGGGGTCAGCATTTGCTGGCCAGTCCTCTTTATAGGATGCAGCGGGGAAAACACTTCAGCTTTCACGCCCATACATGGTGATTGGAAAGACAATCACAACCCGTGTTGATGATCTTGGTCTTGGTCTCCAGTGACACATCCATACACTTTTCTGATTGCTTTGGAATTTTTGGCCCAGATCAGGAGGGACAATGGCTAAGGACCACAATCAGCAGTGCTCCTTCATTTGAAGGACAAAGGAAGTTCATCTGATGATCAAGACGTATTTATTTTGGACCAAGAAGACACTCCTCAACACAAAAGAAAAATGCCTCCACATCTCCTAGAGAGCATAAGCAGACTTTCTAAGCCAAAAAGTTCTCCATCTCTCTCTCTCTGTGATTTGGTCTCCTGGTCAGCTGGTGAAGTGGGCACAAGAACACCAGCCTGATCTCCTTCTTGAAATAGTTTGTTATTTGAAGACTTAGAATAGGAGATAAACATGTTGAACTGCATTTCAGGAAACTGTAGATGACTTTCCCCCCCACATTTTTATGTTGTTAAAACAGATAGTGTTAATATCAGGTTGTTGTAGCATAACCAGACCAAACGGACTGGAAAAATCCCAGTATGTGATTAAATATTACATAGAATCACAGAATAGTGAAGTTGGAACTGGCCTATAAGGCCATCAAGTCCAACTCCCTGCTCGATGTAGGGATACAAATCAAAGGATATGTTCCAGTTGGTTGTCTAACCTCGATGCAGGAATACAAATCAAAGGATATGCTCCAGTTGGTTGTCTAACCTTCTCATGAAAGCCTCCAGTGTTGGAGCACTCACTACCTCTCAGGATAATTTGTTCCATTGTCATACTGCTCTAACAGTTAACGAAGTTTTTCCTGATACGCAACCAAAATCTTGTTTCCTGTAACTTGAGCCACTACAACTCCATTGCAAGCACATCGAAGTTTTTCCTGATACTCAACCAAAATCTTGTTTCCTGTAACTTGAACCACTACAACTCCATTGCAAACACATTGATCACTAATTGCATGGTGTTTAGGGTTCTGAGGTTTTCATATAAATTTCTAAGTTCTATTAACAAACTGTACCTTTAAATTCTGTTTATGCTGCCCTCTCCCCCCTGCCCCCATCTTACCAGTTTTCTGCAGACATCAAAATCCTGATCTGTCACAATGGACCAGCCACCATTGGCCCTTGTGACTGGTTTGAAATAATCACTTTGAAAACTCCTTGGTTTTTTTTTAATTCTCCTTTCCTTTTCATTCCATTTTCCTGTTTAGAGGGAACAATGAAGCAACTTGTTTGGCCTTCTGGTTATGTAAGTTAGCCAGTCTTACATGAAACTGTTTTTTGTGGGTTGTTGATAATTTTCAGTAGAATTCCAGATGAAACCATGTTGTCATGGGGTAGAATCTTCCATGAGGGGAAATATTCAGAGATACTGCCTCTCCTTTCCTTTTCATTCCATTTTCCTGTTTAGAGGGAACAATGAAGCAACTTGTTTGGCCTTCTGGTTATGTAAGTTAGCCAGTCTTACATGAAACTGTTTTTTGTGGGTTGTTGATAATTTTCAGTAGAATTCCAGATGAAACCATGTTGTCATGGGGTAGAATCTTCCATGAGGGGAAATATTCAGAGATACTGCC